CAGCGCCGCCCTGACTGGGAGCACTGGGAAGGGGCCGGGAGCGCTCTCATTCCCAGCGCCGCCCTGACTGGGAGCACTGGGAAGGGGCCGGGAGCTCTCTCCTTCCGAGCATCGCTCTGACTGGGAGCACTGGGAAGGGGCCGGGAGCTCTCTCATTCCCAGCGCCGCCCTGACTGGGAGCACTGGGAAGGGGCCGGGAGCGCTCTCCCTCCCAGCGCCGCTCTGACTAGGAGCACTGGGAAGGGGCCGGGAGCGCTCTCATTCCTAACACCGCTCTGACTGGGAGCACTGGGAAGGGGCCGGGAGCGCTCTCCCTCCCAGCGCCGCCCTGACTGGGAGCACTGGGAAGGGAGCCGGGAGCGCTCTCCCTCCCAGCGCCGCTCTGACTGGGAGCACTGGGAAGGGGGCCGGGAGCTCTCTCATTCCCAGCGCCGCCCTGACTGGGAGCACTGGGAAGGGGCCGGGAGCGCTCTCCTTCCGAGCATCGCTCTGACTGGGAGCACTGGGAAGGGGCCGGGAGCTGTCTCATTCCCAGCGCCGCCCTGACTGGGAGCACTGGGAAGGGGCGGGCAGCAAACAGCGCCCGGGGTCGGTGGCGCCGGCGGGGGGCGCGGCCAGGCGGGGGCGGAGCTATGCAAATACAGGGAGGAGCGCGCGCTGTGATTGGTGGGCGGGAGCAGCGCCGCGTTTCCCCGGTCACGTGAGGACTGGGGCGCGTCGGAGCGATGGCGGCGGCGGCGTCCGGTGAGAGGGGGCGGGACCGGGAATGGGGACAGGGACAGAGACCGGGAATGGGTCTGGAAATACGGGACAGAGATCGGGAATAGGACTGGAAATACGGTCGTGGGAACGGGGACGGAATATGAGAACGGGAGTGGGAACACGGAAACAGCAACCGGACTGAGAATATGGGATGAGGAATTGGAAGAGAGGACCGGGATCGGGGACGGGAATAAGGGAACAGAAATACGGGAACTGGAATATGGGAACGGGACCGGATATGGGAATGTGGATACGGAAGAGGGAATATAGAAATAGAAATATGCAAACGGGAACAGGAAAGGGAATACGGGACGGAGAATATGGGAACGGCAG